TTGGAAAAAAGCGGATTGAGGCGCTTTTTGAGAGGATGAGTCTGTATTCACCTAGCGGAGAGAGCGGTACATAACCTACACCATCACCTGACACATTATAAACGACAGGGTTAAGGTCCCGTTCAAAATTTAGCTATCCCTTCCCGTCATAGGCTGATAATCAATTGACATGAAGGTATATGATCTTGAGATCCCACCATGCATAACCCAAAAGATAAGAGTTTGGAAATAGGAAACGAAGTGCTTTAATGCCAGCTACCTATGTACACCTGGCCCACACTGTCTGTGCCTACACCCGCTGGATGGAGTATGGTAGCACTGTCATTTAAATGCTGGTATCCAAAGGTACTTGCATCATCCAATCTGCTCTGATCCCACTTGGTCGACCCGATAGTGACTCTTCCAGGCGGTACAAATGCAGGGAAAGGGAAGACTTGAAGTCTATGGGGACGCAAAGTGGAGATTCTCGACAGCTTCCTCTACCAATCCAATGCAGTAGAGTTTGAGTCTTCGTCCACAGTACGCGATGCTGAAATACATGCAGAGAACTCATGAAATACCAAAATCACAATGGCAATAATATGAGGCAATCTGTATACAGTAAGCGGATGATGAAAAGTAGTTCAAGTCGTTCAACAGAGTGTTTGATAATAATCTAGATCACCAGTTGGACCCTTGTTTCCTTTTTTCGTCGCTATTTCAGCGACTTAAATGCCTTTCGGTAAACTGCTAACCTTTGGTAATACATGACACGCATTCAAGTGTGCAAATCGCTACATGGTAAGCATACCAGGAAAAAACAAGAAGAAGGTAGAGGTGAGTCAATCATCTGCATTTGTCATAAATACGGCCTTTTAGAGCCTTGCATGAATAAATACAGCTTCCAAGCGAATAAGGCTAAGCTAAGACTAAATGGAATGCTACATATCCCTTCATTTAATTCGAAAAAACTCGCATCAAAGTCAGTCGACTGCTACCATCTACCACAATAAGCAACTGTCGGTTTGATATCGGTGAATAGAGTGGAAATTGCCAATTCTAATGATACGCTAGTTGAAATAGGCAAAGATAGCTTTCCAGAGTCAATACATTCCGTAGCTGCCATGGACGCATTTAAAAAAATGAAGAACAGGGGCAGCTTTTACATCGCAAATGTAAATGTTATGTATGCGCCAATTGTAAAGATAGTTGGCCTGACATGAGAATACCATCACAAGGTAAATACTCCCAATCCCACACTCTGCTACTTTTACAAGACACTAGATTTCAAAGAGGAATCATTCTACTTCCTGTCAAGAGGTTACAATAATTCTTCTTATATGGACCGCAAAAGCACTTCATTTCAACCGCCTGCACCAGATAATCAAAATGCTAGTAGATAGCTTTGCAAGCCGTAGACACTCACTCTATTTTATCCCATTTTAGAAAATTTCCTCTCTCAACCTCCTCTTCACTCCCTATTGGATTACTGGTAGGTAAAAGAACGAGTGGAA